CCCCAAACAAAAAAAAGCCCCCCATACAAGCAAGGGCCTAGATCGCCTGGGTTGAGATGTACCCAGGAGTAAAAATGATCGAACCCAGGCTCGAACTGGGGACCTTCTGTGTGTGAGACAGATGCGATAACCAACTACGCCATCCGACCTTGGTGATGAGTTGGACGAAATTTTATTTCATCAATGATGGGCCCAATTGGCTAGCGACACGTAAGCCCAGGCAGAGGGGTTGCACTGGAGGAATGGCAGCGGGTGGGGCAGGTTTGGTATGGCCAAATGGTGTTGGTTCCCAACCATGTCAAGCATTAAGGTGGTACATATTAGTGCAGTACTTGCGCGTTGCTAAATCGAGCACTAGTACGCGCAAAGCAAGCAAGCTAGAAGCTCTCTAAGGGTATTACTACAGGAAGGGAAACCTTCCATTCTAGTTAATAACGGCAGTTTATACCTCCGTAGCTCGACTCGACTTACTTGTACACAAAAGACTGTGTACAAGGACTCAGCATCGAGTTTCATGCTAACAAGTTGGAACCACGGTCCCTCAAAATACAGTGCCGGTATCCATCCTACAACCTCCAAACATAGTTTGCTCTCTAGCCGAACGGCACGGCTCGCCGTGAGAGTATCTTGCGAAATTTATCCCAAGCATCTCCAGGCCGAGACATCCGGAAGGGCTCGGGGTCTCCAGAGCGCCGCCGCGGATGCGCCCAGACCTCGGCACCCCGCCCGATCAGCCCGGCAGAACGGCAATGCATTCTCACACCACCCGTCTTAGCTACATTAGTCCAAACTCAGAATCTCACCCTCTGGACGAATTTCCATGTCTCCGGTGCTTATTCCATTTTTATCCATTTTGGGAGTGTGTTGTTCACATGCCATCTTTTTGAGACATCCTGGTTTGTTTGATGTTAGCAGGCCTCAGAGCCAATGCAACAAGAAGACCTAGGCTATCAAGCAAGTACTTGCGATGCGAGGTTACGGACTGGTCTTTAAGAACCCTTACCGGCTATGTGTGCTGAGACTTTAATTCAGTAACTAGTTAACATGTCAAGCATAACATGGCACCGTGGTGGTGGCTTTGACGATCATTTGAGACAGCATCTGTTCGGTCACGAGAGAAGATGAGAACCTAACTGGAGAGATGATAAATTTTCTATCCGGATCATCGCCGATGTATCCCCGTTTTACTGACCTATTTTCAGTCTGAGTGATTCATTGTCTACGGCTATTTTAGTGGTATGCTGGGTTCCATGATGCTGTAATCGAGATAGCATCTGGGAAGTTTCCTGGTCGAGTTCCCAGCTTACAAGTACTGCGCTACCAATCACGATAATAGATCAATGATCCGGTTGAGCTCGTTTGCTACAAAGACAGGATCATCGCGTTGGATGAAGTGACCGCAGCCTGGAGCAGTCTTCAGGTCTCCGGGCCTCCCCTCTCCGAGCAGACGAGCCAAGCCTGCATTATAGGCTCCCCACTTAGGGTTGATATAGGTGTTTGTGATGGCCTTGGGCACCTTCATACCCTGTAGTCGAATATAGATTAGCTGTCGGATAGGTGGCTTCGGAGGAATTGAAAGATGACAGGTGGTCATACCTGCTCATTCTGGTTCGCAAACTCATCCCAGTCGTGCCCGACGACGGTCAGCTGAGCGGGCTGGCCGCCGGGTCCCAAGGGCAGCTCTGGCTTGTCGGATTCGGGGAGCAGCTCGGCGAAATTGCGACGATCCAGACGTTCCTTGTTTGGTACCGTAGGGAGGAACATCTGGGCAACCGTCTCCCTTGCATGTACCAGATCCTCCAGTGACACCCCTTCCGGGAGCCCGGCAGGGTCGAAGCCAGGCGCCTTCGGGTCCGGGAGCAGCGAGACGTAGTCAGAATTCGCCACCATGGAGTCTAGAAAGAGGAAGCCAGCGATGATCCCCGGGTTCTTGGCGGCGAATAGACGTGCCAGTGGGCAGCCGATGGAGTTGCAAACCAAGACGAGGCGGGTATGGCCCGGGGTGGTGGCTTTGAGGAGCAGATGCAGATCATCGACTACCGCGTGGGCATCGTGGCCATAGGGCGTTCCCGGAATGTCCGTAGGGTCCGGATCCGACTCACCCTGCCCATAGCGATCGTAAGTCAGGATTGGTGGGACTGGCTGGTTGGCCTGCTTCCGAAGGGAGATGAACTGGTCGATCGCTGGGAACCATCCGTCACGTGGGGTCATGAGACCGTTGAGGAAGACGACGAGCGTTGCGGACAGGGCACCGCTGTCCTCGGCCGGCGGGAAGAAGGTCGACAGCTTCAGAGAAGCGCCGGGCTTGTGGTCTAGCTGAACAGCGCGAGTCTCCATTACTTGGTTGGTGGGATTGTTGCACCGGATGACGTGGTTCTGTTCGGTGAGTGTGATGCACTTGATTGAGGTCCTCGGGGTTTGCGAGCGATGGTATTTTCTATTTATTTATACCTTTATGGCCCGGCGCAAGACATAGGTACCTCACGATAGTGTAAGCCAGATATCGCAGCAAGCAAGGCCGAGTGCCTTGCGCATAGGACTAGCTGGGAAAATCGGCGTTCGGGTACGGGCCGAACCTGGGCCTCGCTAAGCGGGGCAGCTTTGTACCAGGAGCTTGAGGCTGTGGCACCTATCCAATCACCAAAACGCGGAGCTGTAAGACCGACACCTTCGCTTATAAACTCATTCTCGCTAATGCCGTTTCTATCCCAACGCGCCCAGCCCTCAGTGGTATATCGCGATGCCTTGACGCAAAAATATGGAGAGGAAAAGGACCGAAAGCATATTTACACACTTAGAGCATGACTGCATGGTTGCGCACGCTTGCACGCCCGCCTGTCTGCCGAGCAATCCGGCCCTCGCCCGACACGGCCGCGTGCCACAAGGGCTCATGAATAACGCTGGAACTTGTTGAGGACCTTCAGCCTGCCCTCCTCTGTCACGAGCACGATGTGGTCCTCGGTCTCGGCCGATCCGGGCAGCGAGCCGCAGTAGACTCGCTTGCCCTGGATGGCGCGAACCACCTCGGACGACGCGCCGTTGCCCAGGCCAAAGTTGCGCGTGAGGCGCGCAAGGTCCTCGAGCGTCTTGTCGGCCACCTCGAGCATCGGGTCCGATGCCGCGCGCGAGGGGTGCGTGGTTGCCTTGGACGTGATGTCGATCTCGGGGAAGAAGGACACGTTGGGGCTGTAGGGCCCGAACAGGCTCATCCAGAGCAGCATCACCATGCACCAGAGCGTCAGCGCGAGCGACATGATGCCGAACGTCCACACCGTCCACTGCTCGATGATGGCCCGGTAGGCCGACACCGACAGCGACACCGTCACGATGTTCTCGGTCGGCATCTGCTTAGGATTGCCAAACTGCCGGATCGCCGTCGAGAACTGGAACGGAACGGCGACCAGACTGCGTAGGAGGTAGATTCCACCATCAATGTACGTAGCATACGTCGACTGGTAAAGCCGTAGGATATCTGTGTCGGTCAGCACCTCGTCCGCATCGGGGAAGACTAGGGGAATACTCACAGCCTGCGCCATATCCGAAGCTGAACTGCGCCGCAGACAGACCGTAGCCGCTCGGATCGCTCGTCCTGTTCAGGGTCTGCGATATGCTGCCCATGATGATGTAGGCGTAGACTCTAAAGGGGGTCGCGGGAACCTCGATCTGCGTTGCAGGCGACAGGCTCTCGACGCCGATGATCGAAATGTTCTGCCGGTCATACGCTACAGTTGCCCTGCGGCTGTACATGGTAACCGTTGTGCTCCATGACACCTTTTCGGACCAACTATTGTCCGTTTGGCACGTCTTGGATTGAAACTGCTCATCCGGACAGATGCTCCATCCTGTGCGCCGATGAATTCCTAGGTTAGCATTTGCTTTCCACTTTACTGGCGCTTCCCGACTCTATTGAGCCTGTGTCTCTCCTTCCCGTTGCCGCCTCGCGCCCTTTCCTCCGCTGTGCAGAGAAGCGCAGGAAGGCCTGGAAACCGGACCTGCAGGAGGACTTACCTAAAAACAGTGCGTTCCCCTCTTGCCGCTGGCAAAAGAGTAGGCCATCATCCTGGTCCTGCAGGTGCATCTCACAGTCCCCGTTGTCCCCCGCCTTGGTGGAATGGTTGAAACGGAAGCTGCTGTCGTACGACTCAATGGACTGGTACTCGATCTGATACGCAGGCGCGTTATGGACTACAACGCTGTCGTAGTCACCGGGGAACTCGCCGCTGACCAGAGACGGCTGCTCGGTCGAGTCGCGGCCGGACTCGTTGAAGAAGCGGACCGACTCCATGCCGCCGGGCATCAGGATCGAGTAGCAGTCCTGGTCCGTTCCCGTGCAGTTGACGGGCGCCACTTTCGCGACGAAGCGTGGGTCCGTCAGGAACGCCATCGTGTACGTGGTCGCTAGCAGCGGCACGAGCGTCGCC